CTGCCTGTCCTTGAGCACCGCTGTCAAAGCCCCATTCTCTACCACAATTTTTTTCACTAGAAATGGGATCACCCCCATTGCCTTGTCTCTGTACTCCCAGGCCTTCACGGTCAATTGATTTCGATGGCGTCTCCTAGCGACACGAACGGCCGGACCACATGCATATCCCGAAAGTGATTGAATCGAGGCGCGACAGATGAAATATGAAGCAAATTACCACCAATGAGCGTCTTTTCAAGCGTTAACTTTTTCACTCCAAAAAGCTTGGACAAATATATTCAACTTTTTGGTTTTTCGAAGTATCGAGGAACAGTCACCAGGATTGATCATAATTTTGAATAAAGCGTTTTCTGGTAATAAAGTTATTTACAATATGGCTTTCGACAGCCAGTGTTCTGTCTTCGACGGATAAAAATTTGTGATAAAATGAAACGTCATGTTATCGCATTTTAAATACTTTTTACCAGAGAACGCTTTATTCAATTTTCTTATTTGCCGGGTTTTTGTTCATTTTAATCTCAATCTTCTCTCTTTTCAATTTTAACCTTTTAAGAACTGCATTTCGAGATTTTTACTGATCTAGTTCCACTGCAAAGGTTCGACACCCCTTGTTGGATTTTCGCTGCGCCTTGTTTGCCTTTATTGGAGTTTCTGATCAATATTTGTCGAGATAGTAAAACAACTGTGATCTAGAACAGGCCATTAGTTCTTGAATTTCGAAACAAAGAAAACATTCCTGAGGAAAAGTTATAAAGAAGTTCCAAGACGAACTTTATTTCCATTGATTTTAGAAAAAAATCGCGGCTGAAGCTCCTTGCTGATCACCTGAAGAATGAAAGTGAGCTGGGTCTGGGAACTGAGTTCGAGTACAATGACCGAGGGACTGAGTTTCTGAATATGCAACAAGCGCGAGTGTAATATTGTTTTATTAAAAAGCGCCCCCAAGTATAGAAAACTAAACTAAATTAAAAACAAAATCGCCCCAAAAATCACGCGTTCTCTTGACATATTTGTAGAGCATGGTATAATGGCTCATATACCACGAAGCCAATGAAAACCGGCTCTCGAATTTCATTATCCATTGATCCAGTTTTTTACTTTAAGTGATATTTGTATTCATTTCAAGCATTATTTGTACTCTGCTGTTAAAGGAACAACATCGAATTTCATTTTATTACGATTTTCTTCGCTCTTAACACATGTCTCGTCTAAGGTAGACAGACTCAAGCATAGGAAACATTGAGCGACTTTTGTTTACTCATGCTAAAACTTGGTCATTGTTGTTTGGTATAAATACTTTTTTGCAAACACTGATATGACAACTAAACTTTTTATTTATTAAAAAAGCTCCTTTAACGTGTTCAGTAGGTCTGTCCACAGACGTTCATTTTTTTGCTACGAGTTATTTTTGTTCCCCAGGGCCACCCATTGCGTTCTGGCTTTTTCAAATCTGCGGTTAATACATTTGCTTGCGATCTCGACTAACTCAAGACAAAATAGGGGACCTGTAGAGAGACTATAGAAAAATAAAGCTAATAAAAACTACATAAAACCTTAATTCAAAACAGCGAACTCTTTGTGTCAACAGCCAAATATCTTGTTGGTACACAATCCCCTTCCCCGCTGTCCTCTCATTTCCATCTTTCCCGATGGAGAGATGACATCTAGAGCTATTTCAACCATTTGAAGAATGCAGGGAATTTTGGCGGATTTTCTTTTTCGTGGGATATTGTTCATATTCTGGGGATCTTGGTGAAACCCACAAAATTTTTTAAATGCGATATACGATCGCGGATAGCTTCTTGATCAAATGAAATTCTCAGGAAAAACTAACACGTAAGCTAGAAAACAGTGCAAATTTTAGCCTTGGAAACTCTAACCTAAGTACTGTGGGTCTGCGGCGTCCCGTGATACCCGCGAACATTTGCCCGTGACCCGCAAGACTCCCCAAAATAACTAATGAGGTCATTGGGAAAAGCGGCCGGGCTGCTGAGCTTGCAAGGCGCGCGGGAAGGCACTAAGGCAGGTGTGTGACTGAGACTAGCTCAAACATCTCGATCAGTGATTCTTCTTCCGTCCGAAATGAACCAAAAACCAAACATAGAGATACTGAAGGAGCCTAAGGGATTCATCAAAGGCATCGAACTGGTAAGTCTGCGGTACAATCGCCTCGTTTTAGTATGATATTTGATCATTGATTCGGATCGAGTTGGCCGCTGCTTTTCGTAAGCTTATCTGCATGCAAAGCTGTTTCTTTAAAATCTGTGGCCTAGCAAGACTGTGTGTAAAAACCGATATGTTGCCTTGATGGTAAAGATACGTAACTTATTGCTCTACACTTTTAAGGATCTGGTAATATAACTTAACAAGTTTTCAACCGATAATGAGTGCATGGCTAATGGAAATTAAATGCAAAAATTCCAAATAACTTAATATTTTTGCAGACCGAGCTATTTATAATATTTGCGTTACATTTTGGTGATCTAGACTGCCAGTGTAGAACTGAATAGTTGAGTAATTTCGTCATTCATTTGTAAGCATACATGAATAAGTAAGTTTATGTATGCATGATGCAAAAACTAAAATAGTACATGAAATTTATGTGAAAATATAGTTACAAATGCAAATGACAGTATGGCCGGTATCACTTTCAAATAAACACATGAGTATTGAATTAAGTGATAGAGTGATCAGAAGACTGTAAAGAATGTATAAATCTTAACATCAATACATGACTGTACATCTGTACGTATATGCTCTAAATCGGTGCTCAGCCTTAACTTTTAGTCCTTGGGGTAGAAAGGGCGTAAAATTTTACCAGGCAACAAGCATCACCTGGTAGCCAAACCAAGGCTTAAGCTTTTGATCATGTTCTGCGTTCAATTTTAATTTCATCACGCTTCATGCTCACAGAGCTTGACTTGTAGGCAAAAAAAGGTATTATGTCAGCCATGGACTGCAGTGACGTTGTAGCTTTCACTTTCACCACGTGACACTGTGTAAGATCGTGTTTACTTTGCAAGTTTATTTCGCTGGAAACGACGGTCATTAATTTATTTGCAATTTTGTGAGTATTTCTTGTGGGTTTAGGCAAATGAAGTGAATTCTGTGGCTGTTTCATCGCAGCGAGTTAAGAGATCTGAAGGAAAATTAAATATTTGCTGAGATAAATAGGAGCTTGCCAGAACTTGCAGAGTTTATGTCAGTGCTAGGGGAAAAAACACAATCATTCTAAAATTAGCTGTGCATAGCGTAAACCTCGGATTGTGTGACTCACGTGACTACTTTGCTTTACACATAGCACAAACAAATTAAATTTTGACTTTTAAGGAAGAAAGCTGTTTATTAATAGCATTATTAATAGTGTGACAATCGTTTCCTTTTTGTATTGTTCATGGGCATGTCCCAAGCGAACTTCCAGGTTAAGACCATTACATCTTCATAAATTTCACAAAGGCTAAGAGTGATGGTGCAATAACACAGTTTGTGTTGATCAAGTGATGTGATGTCGACAGTTATCAATGAATCATCAAGGACTGCTTTGGAATGTGCACTGCGTTGCGACTGTAGTACTAGGAAAACAGTTAAATTTTAAAAGTGCGGTTATAAGATCTAACAGATTTTCTTGTTTGAATACAATGGAGCAAAATCACATAACCCCTGAACAGGGTTATACAGTTCTGATATTAGTTACTCAATGATGTTGCGCTTTTGATGCTTGATTTATTCGCGGAGAGGCCTCAGGATTTATACTATTAATCATATCCATAACAAAATTCTCGATCGCGATTAGTTATCCACACACCTATTTGTCACGAAATTGGCGCGTGGTCACATGGGTGTCCAATTACAGGTATCCAATTTGAACTTTTTGTGATTGGATACCTGTAATTGGCACGTCAATTAAAACGCACTTTAATGGCTTCCTTTGCAATGTTTTGCACAGTTTTCAAAACTTATGCAAAGCACTACAGACGTTTTTGCTCAAAAGTAGTTCTCAAGACATTTTTAATTCCAAAATTTGTAATAGATACGATTAATTAGTAATTGGATCTAGTGTCATACAATTTAGGAAGTAATCTTGCTTGTAATTTCAAATCGACCTCGTGCTTCATGCTCATCCAATTTTGAAATTACCTGTGCAATTACTCCCTGAATTGTACTCCACTGGGTCCAATTACTATTACTAATAATTAGGTGATTTTGCATCCTGCAAATTCCTTCTATTTGCATTGGGACCCTGCCTAATAAGTGAACCCATTTCAGATGTTTTTATTAATAAGAACCGGTATATCAATGAGCACTTCCATTAGGTAGCATCCCTTCTCCAACAAGTGCCCCTATGCCATACATCTGTGGTTCATTTTCCTTCTGGACTGATGACATCATTGTAGCATTACAAAAGAACTGGTTTTGTGAGTTTTTATGTATTAATTTATTTTTTTTGCTCTCATGAGGACACGGTTCCTTCAAAAGTAAATTTTGTTTTAAACATTCTGTTTCAAAACAAAAAATTACCACTCCATCCTTAGGGTTGTAGCCAAGAAAATAGTCTCCCAGCTAAGATTCTCAATGAGCCGGTCACCATTTTCCTCAAGAGACCTGGAACAAAATTTTGGTCAACGCCTTGAATGCAGGGCTACCAAGCTTTGTGTTTACTAGATGGTAGACATAGTACACAGAAAGAAAACACGCTAAACAAGTGCTCAAAACAAGGTTTCAATTACTTTACTCGTTATAGTGGCACCAATACTCAAGGTAGTCAGGAATTTATTTCAAACTTTTCATTTAGACAGTTTGATATGGCTCAGATATTGAATGACTGTACATGCGTAACCAACAAACCGTTCTTTGTCCTTTACCAAGTGATCACCTGCCAAAATCCAGCCAGCGATCACCTTTTTCTCAGCCAGGGAATTTTGCCAGTAGCCAGCACTTAGCAACAACCCTGCATCATTCTAAATCCTATAAAATTTCTCTGTCTCCAACAAGCACCCCTGTTAGGCTTCCCAAAATACAATAAGTGCCGTGAGTGCTAAATCGAATCATACTCACCATATAACTCTTTTTTTTCTTACAGCTAGGATTCAAACAGAGTTTAACCCACTGACCCCTGCATTGTTTGTTTCCTTTTATATTTAGTTCATCACCATCTTTGCATTTGCAACAGTGGCAGGCTTTGTGGGGAGTTTTCAATTTAAAGTCAACTGTCAAGTAAATCCACAGGAGTTACTGTCACGTGATGTCAAGGGTAAATTCTACTACCCATTCAATAGCATAACCCTGTACACAGCTGCAGATGGACGGTTTTGCGCTAACGAGACGGAGACTTCTGAAGAATATACACTAGACATGAACTATAAGTCGGAGTCGCAGTACTTTGTCTTCACGGGTGTGGTCTCTATGCTGTTTGTCCTTGTTGCTCTTGTTTATTACGTCCTATTTGAAGATCGAGCAAAGGAGGCAACTTCGACTGATGTTGGTCTGTTTTCTTTCCCAGTTGTGGTAAGATTCTTGTTATTTCTTGTTGCAAACTATTGCTTGTTGACAACAACTGTCCTTGTTATAATATCAATGCTCGCAAGTTAATGGAGACGAACGAAAGTCATTTCTTCAGGATGATCAACAGATCGGGATCGTGAGTGAAGATCACTTGGTTTATGTTGCATCAAATGAACCTGGGAAAGGGGGGTGTTGGGGAGTTTTCCCTTGGAGGCACGTTGCCCTCATGGATAGTGCCCTTGCCTCCGGATCAAGCGGACCAGGTCAAGCCATGGCCAAGGACTTTATGTTGTGTTCTTGTGCGAGACACTTCACTCTCACAGTGCCTCTCTCCACCCAGGTGTATTAATGGGTACCAGCAAAGTTATGCTGGTGGGTAACCCTGTGATGGACTAGCATCCCATCCAGGGAGGAGTAGAAACACTCCTAGTCTCTTCATCTAGAGATAAACGCCCGTATGATGGCCCACTTGGCTCGTATGTGGACTATACCTGTACCATCCCTTATATGGGCAATGTAGGTATGTGCAGCCCCAAAGGGTATGGTTTTTGAGCTGTTTTGGTTTGAAAAAGGGCATAAATTTTGACCATTTTTGTCTGAAATAGGGTATGTTTTTCACTCTGGCTTGACAATGAGTATTTTGTTCTCAAGAAACTAAATTTTTTCTGCACCAACATTGGCGACTTTGTAGCCCTTCTCCAAATGTTTACGCAAATGGAAGCCATTTCTGGTTAGCTGCGGGCATATAATTATTAGAGTCATAAATCTAGTAATTTTAGAGGTCGGAAATAGGGTAGCAACTTTTTACTTAGGTCTGAAATAGGGTATGGGCCGTCACAGATTTTGGTCTGAAACAGGGTCAGGGTTTTAAGGTTTGAGCTGCAAACCCCACCAAAAACTTTGTAGAGTACACGCCCTCCCCGTCCCCCAGAACCATTATGTAACCTCACATTCATTTAACTACATTGTAATCTGACTTTCTGTTTTTTCAATGAATAGGATTTTGTTGTCACTATTGTGTTGGTCATCTTCTGGTTCACGAGTGCCATAGCATGGGCATCAGCCTTGTCTGGTCTGAAAGATGCTACAAGCAAAGATAAAATACTCAGTGACCACCCCACCTGTGCTAATACAGAGGTTACTAAATGTGCATGGGTTTTTGGGGCCACTTACGGTGCCGCAACTGTGTCTGTGGTAAGTCATGACTTAAATGTTTTTATAAAATAACTGAGATACCATGTCCACTCTCACTGGTCAATAGGTGTGTTGAGATGAGAGTATGCCACAGTTGTTACATTTTAGATTTGCGGGTTTTTTTGAGAAATATTTCATAAAAGCAATAGAGGACTTTTTCCTTGTTTACATAGCCTCATCTAAACACTCAGAGGGTGAAAGAATTTTCCAAAGTTATACATACCTAAGACAGAGTCAAGGGTTTGCATAACTGTCTTGAATTCACCCAACCTCCCTTGTGTTTTGATGAGGCTATGTAAGCAAGGAAAAAGTACTCTATTGCCTAATCTATCATCATAGATAAACAAAATATAATATGAATAAATACATAAGTAAATAAAATTATGATTTTTAGAGGGAAAGGCCCTTGGCCCTTAGCTGTTTGTCACACAGGTCCTCTATCCTGATCAAATTGGCATTTGGAAATGTTGGTTTTTTCAGGAGGGAGGAAATCCGGAATGCCCAGAGAAAGACCCTCGGAGCAAGGCAAAAACCAGCAACAAACTCAACCCACATATGGCACCGTGCCAGAAACGAACTCGGGCCACATTGATGGGAGCACTGGCCTCCCACCACTTCGGCAACCCTGCTCCCTTGACTTTAGATTCAATTTCAAATCTATTAATTTGAAATTAGTATTAATTTTTCTTTGAACTGGTTACCCATGTTACCTCTGAAAATTCACTCTTTCTTTTGCAGGTCTTTGGATTCCTCAACTTTTTTGTTTGGGGCGGAAACTTGTGGTTTCTGTTTAAAGAAACACCATGGCACAGTCCTCGGAGTTCCGGAGCAAGAGGGAAAGAAAGTGTTCCTCAGGAGCCTCCGATACAGGATACTCCACCAGCATCAGCAATTTGAGCCTTTTTTACTTGCCTGGAAGGTACTGTATACTGTCGCAACTTTAATTCACATAAAACAACAAATTCAAAAAGCAATATAAGATACCCACAGTGCAGGTGAATATATTTGAACTGCGAGAAAGAATTTGAGACATGAATGATCATTGTAGTGACAGTGGAACCCTGCCTTACGACCACGCCATTAATATGGCCACCTCGTTATTACGGCCACTTTATTCTGGCCCAAACTAAAGCTCAGTCAGTCATTTTCTTATTTAAAGAACCTTTTTAATACAGCCAGCCTGTTAATACAGCCAGATTTTTGTGGCTTGTTGGTGACCATATTAACGGGGTTCCACTGTATGTACACAAAGTGAGCAGTTGTGAAAATAAATTTTAAGTGTTTGAGTGGCAATACTCCTAGCAGCTTCATGCCATGGAAATTAATTAATTTAAACTGCAGTTGTGAGTTTTCTGCCTTTTGTATATTATAATTGAAAGAAACATTGACTAGGGTGGATGTAATAGATGGAAAAGCTCTTTCTAAAATCCCTAGTGCTTTGCTTAGAAATTATTACTACTTTTTGGTCCCAAGAGAAGAATAGAGAATTAACTGCAAATTTAGGATATATCTGAAGAAGGGTTCACAACTATTCCAGACGTTATAACCGTTTTTAAAAAAGTAAAAATGAGATATGCATTTATTCACATACAAACATAGTTATCTCTGAGATGTGTTAAGCATAATAGAAGCATATGATTATAGTGATGAATTATCTCTTCGACCTAGCTGTACAAAAGCCGTGAAAAATTTGTTTAATCGATGTTGAAACAACCTTGGGTATACGAACAACAAATTATGGACTCAGTAATGTGGCCAACTTTGATAATGCTCATACATTTTCTTTTTAACTTTTGTTGTAGGTTATCTGTCTCTGTGGATTGTTTTTTCAACCAGCATTTAGTATTACTTGTCATAAGAATACCAAAAATTTATTTGAGTTATTTTATGTTTGGGTAAGGGGTTGTTTTAAAATTTTTACAACTGGCCTGAGTTGTTCAAAATTTGGATAATGCCATCCACAGTATAAATGGCTATCCAGCAGATAGTGTGGTTTGTTTTCTTAACACTTATCCACTGGATAGTAATTTATCCAGTAGATATCGTTATCCAGCCTTCGAACAATTGGGGACTGGTTGACTAATTTTGTTTTAATTTGCCATTCAAGCTTCAACAGAGATCAAAATCTGTTCTCTCATCATAAAATCAATGCAACATCTCCTCTCATAGCTGCATAAGGCAGTGAAGTCAATGCATACTTGACAGTATGTTTTAGGAGAATGAGCAAGTGGTCAATATTAATTGTTTGTTTGAAGGATTAATACATATGGGTTATTGACCAAGTGTGAGGTCAAGATGGCTGGATATTGGCCAAGTTTTCTTTTTTGCCTGTTTATGGACCTTGACTCCATCTCGGTCCATAAACTCGCAAAAAAAGAACGAGGCCAATATCCTGCCACCTTGACCAAACAAGCTTGGTCAATAAAGGATTTATTGTATGGCTTTCAGAGAAATTTTCCTCGCGGGACACAGCGGGTAGTCCCAAGTGGGCAAGACAGCTCCATCTTGCCTGCTCGGGTAGCCAATCACAGCGCAGGATTTGATTCATCTTGCCGGCTCACAGAGCTACATGTAGCCATATGATAATATGGGTTATTGGCCAAGTGTGAGGTCAAGATGTGGGACTGCAATTTTCAATAGGGCCTTGTAATTTGATATAATTCTGATTGGCTAACTTTATATTTAGTGTACGTTACTGGGACTTGCTGGTACAGTATTATTATTATTATAAGGATTTTGATGGCCGGTCCTAAACATAGCATTCTCTGGCAAAATTGGATTATTTCCTCTTTTACAAAGTGATGCTATGAGAATCGAGGAAAATTCATTACCTGATGTGTCAATTTCTCATGGAACATTGCTCGATAACCACTATCCCACAGGTTTTTACTAGGGGGAAGGAGAATTTTTTTTTGGAGGGGGGGGGGGTGTGCAGGGTAAGTTGAGATTCCTCATCAGGTAATGAATTTTCTAGTACAATGGCATGTCCATGTTGCCTTGCTGTACCATAGAATTGTTTGCAAGTCAAATATATTGGTATGATATTTACAGAAAGAGATTGCTCCGTGTGTTACATTAGGCTGTTCCGAGCATAGTTAGTAGACTAATTTCCGAGGTATGCAGTATTTTGAGCAGTTTTCAAATGACATTTGTAAAGCTAGAGCTTAAGGGACTTACATCGCAAAATTACCGTAAAAATGTTGGAAACTTAAAATAGTTGTTCACTAATTAGATTGTCAGCATATGTGGGGTGGACTAATAAAACGAGAAAGAATGAGGAAGATTTCGTCATCTTCGCCATCACTACCACCACCACCATCAGCATCATACATTGATTGATTGATTGATCATTATCATCATCACCATCACTGTCACGGTCATCATCATCATCATCATCATCATCTATATAATTCAGCTGGTCGAGTCCTGTGCTGCCATTTGGGCCTCTCTCCATGACAGATTAACTGAAGCCATCTCTTTTGCTGGAGTCCTTTTCCAGTAGAAAATTACACCAGATTTGAAAAAGTCAGGCTATACTGTGATGTATGTCCCTTAAGTATTCCCATGCAATCAATTGTATTTTAATTTAGTGAGGATTGTTAGCTGAAAAGATTGCATAGCTTAAAAATACCAGTTTGGCTTCTGTGCCTGATGGAAAGGAAGAAAGGCTCTTTATAGTGGATACGTTAATGAATGTTTTTTTGTAAGTGAATAGATCTAAGGCCTTTTACATTTCTCAGTATTTATCATTTTAGTTGGGCTGTAGCTAGTAACAGGCAAACCAAAGCACTTGCCTCTTAATACTTAGGAAGAGATTTAAACAAATGACATTGTATCACTTAATATTTTTTTCTGGCAATGGCCCTGCAAGTAAATTTTTTTTTTCTTTGTAAGAAATAGTTTTCTTTTCATATGATAATAAACCCAGCTCTCAATAGTGAATTGAAAACTGCTCTAAGCTTGAAACAAATTTATTTAGCACCGTTTTACATGCAAATATTCAAGGATAACATTATTGTAATAGTGTCGATTATGTTAATTTTCATGGAAGGCTTGAATTCAAGTTTGATTTGCTTGTTCAGAAAATAGCATTTTGTTTTGATAAAAATTTGTAAAACGCGAATCGTGTTAAAGTTCACTTTTCCAGCTCTTCTTATTAGAGGTATGAAAATGTAGCTGTAGTTGTCGTCACGCACATCACGCAATGGAAGTAGAAAGAATCGTTGCGTGACGACCCTTCTAACAGGCTAATGGGTGTGGTAGAGACAGCTGTAAATGGTCTCAATGGAGATAATTAACAAACTTTAATTGACAATGTTCAGTATTTTTAAGCTCCTATCTTGTTTAGAGTACTTATTAGTCACTGGCTGTGTATGTTGGCTCTGTGTATTCAAATATATTCATGCGGTTTAACAATATGATGGTGTTTTACTTGCATTGTTTGTAGCTTTTTTGTATCGTTCAGTCATTAGGGACGGACCATTATTTTGAGGGAGGAGAGGGTTGGCAATTTTATGGAGTATGAAATATTTTTCTGACCTTAAGGTTGTGCATTATTTATTTTGGGTGGGAAGTAGCTTGCGCAAGAATTACTTTAAAGTGATAATTACAATTTCTCCAGTACGTCGCTTCCTTGCTTGACCGCAAAAAACGTGGCTCCCTGAAAAGATCTGGGACGAGCGGGGAAATTACGAGTGGGAGTGGGGAGCAGTATCGACACTTCGTGTGAAAAAGAACTGCTAAAGGAACTTACAGTCTACCTAGCAGTCCTAGCAATATTTTTTAAGACTGCAAGTTTCTTTTTCCTTTCCGTTTTCCACTCGAAGTGTCGATACCTTTAAAACACTTCCTATAATTTCCGTGTAATGAATTACTGAGCTCAGATTCAGAAACTGACTTTCATTTGTAAGCAGGACTAAATTCTAAACTGCGTTACGTCACAGATAAGTTTTGACGTCACAGCATAAATGATTAGACGAATGCAAACAATAATTTGGACGCACTGGAGTTGTGAAAACGGAGGGGCCTAATAACTATCTTCAAAGTTGAATATTTTCAGGCTTTAACATTTGCCTCAAGAAAGAATGTAACTGCCAAACCTCTACGCGCGCATGGTAAGTGTAGCTTTTAGTGACTTTCTAATCTGCTCTAGCTGAGAAAGAATGGCGGGGACACAAATTCGTGGAGTAATTCCCGTTCTATCTCTTTCTTGCGCGCGTGCTTTTCACTTTTGGCTCCCCGATCTATTTTGCTCGTATCATTGTCTGACGTACTTTCATTTCAAGATTAACTGTTGACTCCCAAGCCCTTGTTGCACGCTGATAAATTAACAAAGTCTTAACGACAAATCGAATGTAAGCTAAGTTGCCGTACATTTGCAGTCTCAAAATTTAATTTAAAACCGACTTGAGCTCGGAAGATGCAAACGTAATTACTCGGTTGCGTCCTTTCTGTACATATTAAGTACCAGAGGCCTTGAAATAACCAAATTATTGAGAAGTGATTCGTAGTGGTTCGTTTTAGCAGTCCGATACAGTTATATTTTGCCACTTTCACTGTAGAAACAAGAGAACAGAAATATAGAATTTAGAATATAAAATCTACTTGAACTCGAGCACACGTATTAGAATTGAGGTGTGAGGCAAATCACTTGATCTGAATTTAAATAAAAATCTTAATATGTGGTTTGAGATATTCAAGTAAGAAATGTGCCAATTTGTTTTCTTTTAGCAAATCGCGTCGGTCAAATTTAATTGCCATGTCAGGTTGGAAGTTGGTTGATTTTGAAATTTGCATAACGTAGATATCTTTAGTGTGCGATAATGTTTCGCTCTGAAACTGAATTTTCATTTAGTCAGTGAAGAAAATGCTAGACTCATCCGCTGTCAGAATGCACAGCCGCACCAAGACAACGGTGAGTCTCAAGGGATTATATGTGAAGATTTTCCACTATTTCACTTTATTTTTTCAGTCCCCCTCGTTATGTTACGTGGTTTGTTGTTGGGAAATGTGACTACGCTTAAAATTTCATGACATTGGGGGTGTTAGTTGCCCTGTGTTTGCGGTGTAAGATGACATTTAAAAGTTCTTTTGAAATGGTTACTAAACAAACCGTACCTATGTTATTTTCTCTAGAGTAACAAACACGAAGGTCTACCTGTCAAATTTTGTTTGATAGCGCGCGTATCCAATTCCCTTCTCGGACTCGTTTGCAATATTTTATACATTTTTTTCTTTTCAGATTATCTTTCGATGCTGCTGCAGTTTACAAATTGTTTATAGATGCACCATGTTTTGGTGAAGTTTCCTTTCGGGCCCACAACTCGTCGAGTACATTGGGTGCCTCCGCTAAGAGTCTGCAACAAACGGCGATTTAATCTGGTAAGTTTAGCAAGGAAGAAAGTGCATGTTAAGGAGAGAACATTTTGACTTTTGAGGGAGGGGATCGAGGGGGGAGTTGGTATAGCAATGAATGTTTTTTTTTTAATTCTCTCATGTACTAGGAATTTTTTCTCGGGACATGTCTATGCATGATAATTTTTCTCCCTACAACATGCTTTATTGGGCTCACTGAACGTACATGAATTTGTTTTGGTACTAGCATGCTTGCAATATATTTTTTTCCAAAATGACCAGACCCCTCCCCTCCCTAAAAATTCAAATGGTCCACCCTAAAGCCGCTTGAGCTGTCCACGTGATTAAACTTGCGTCACAGGATTGGCTAATCTCTAGATCCCCTAGGATTTCTGAAGCCGGGGGTTATCTAAATATAACTTGAGAGGGATTGCCTTTGACCTCTATATGGGGATCAACTCTCGTACTCTTCATATACCTTTTCCGTGAAGCCAACCACAAGTAAGAAAAGATGCAGGGTACGAGTTTTTGGAGCTGAAGATTTTAGCGTTAGCGCCTGATAACTTATGTAAGGACTTTAACTAAGGTCACTAAGGCAGTGGTAGACCTAGGGGAGGTACCAAGATTGCTTTTTTAAACCCCTGAAGCGTACGACGGACACCCCGGTCCTTTTTAACCGCGCGGCCATGGGCCGAGCGCGGTTCTAGGTTTACCCGTGGTTTATTAACCGCGCGGCCATGGGCCGAGCGCGGTTCATGGTTTACCCG